ATTAAAACAAGATATTTGGAAATTATTTGGTGAAATTGTCTTCTAGATTTAGGGTGCAGTCGCTTCAGAGATATATACCTGAAACAGTGATGCTACCATTATGGACTCTTCGAAACAAATCTACATAGGGAATTATATTGTGTTATGGTACCTAATATAAGTATTTATGGTGTTTTGCTAGACAATGTCAGTATAATTCATAATACAGCTGTACAATTCCAACAAGTCCTCCTCCAACTTGGTGATGTTCTACAAAGTCTGACCATTTGTTATAGTTTCATCAGAAAGGTTGCCTTGTGAAGAAACATAAGCTCAGTCTGTTTTGTTTATATCTACTACACGACTTTTCCAAAACAGCTGCCTTCGAGGCCATAGGCAGCAATTACAGGATTATGAACACTGATTACGTGTTGACAGATGGATTAAAGTCGTCCTTCTGAGGCAACCTGACTAAATATAATGTGGGAAGTGAAGCAAGAAACAAAAACATGTCATTTGCTGTGGAACAATTGAATTCCTGTTTTAGTTTCGTGATAACGCTAGTGAAAATAAATATCCATTACTTGGTGAAATCTTGCATAATAATAGCGTGTTAAGCAACAATACGGTTGGTAGTGGAAAAGCAGCTTAAGTCCGAAAAAGTGACTCAGTGTGTTGTTACTGGATGACATCTTAGTGTTCACCTGTTAGAATTATGAAAAGATTTCCAGGGTTGTTTATGAATAAATTTGTCCCTGAAATCAGCTAACAGCCCATCGCTTTCTTACTGAGGGACACTGTGTTACATTAACTATCATGAGCCAGTATAACCTACTGGTCATATCGGGCCATGAGGCTGTAGTTGTGGCAGTAAAGTCATTGATTGTGTTGAACTGAGCAGCAAAGATGAGTCTTTTTAAGTGTAAGCTGCCAATTATGTTCTTTCTTCTCTCGAAAAGTTTTGTAGTTTTGCTTTAAGCAGAAAATCTAACAAAAGCAGAAGGACAAACACGTTTCATGTCATACTTGTGTTTGACCATATTGTGGAGCTATTGACTTTGTTTCTGCTGCAAACACACACACACACACACACACACACACACACACACACACACACACACACACACACACACACACAAACAAATGTATGAATGTGGAATTAGATTTGTTTATAAAATAATGTAACAAAATCTTCCAACAATCAGACATAAATACACAAAAACTTTAATTTTAAACTAAAATAATGATCTCGAAGACAAAACTTACACACTACATATCAGAAAGAAAAATTCCTATAAATGAATGACGACGCTCAGTACTACATTTTATTATTATTATTATTATTACTTCTACACAATGTTAAGTCAATACAGGATTTTTATATCATAATACAA